TTATAGTGGTAATTGAGTAGAGGGGCACCTGGTAATTATAGTGGTGGAGATCATGGAAGAGAAGGAATCTCCTGAGGTGCACAAGAACGTCGTCCTCTCAGATCTAACTCCTCCTAACAGTGGTGGCCCTTTCACCAAGTAATCGCATGCAGGACTACTTAACTTGTTTTCTTTCGATGGGCATAAGAATGGATAATTGTCATGCCATGTCTGCATTGTGACCACGAGATTGTCGTCTTGTTTTGATTGCTTGTTCCTTGTTAAATTCTCGCGGGTGCCCGATTTCAACATTGTGCATTTTGCTTTGTCACACAGTTGATGGTTGCCTTTCTATAGTATACAGGGCACATGTGTACGCAATATCCATTAATTAATTTTACCTTTGTTTATGTGCCTGTGTTTAGATGTTTTGGGCGCCATGAGACCCCTTATTGGGAAGTTGGACATGCTTCTCCTTAGGGATGCTCCTCAGAAATGCTGCTCCAAGAGGATCAAGGACAGGATGCGCCTCCTCAAGGATGACGTTCAAAAGATAAGTTCCTACCTTGATGAACTATTAGAAGTGGAAGACCCTCCGCCAATGGCCATGTGCTGGATGAATGAGGCACGCGACCTGTCTTATGACATGTAGGATTACGTCGACAGCTTATTATTTGTGCCGCCTGAAGATCCCTCCCTTTTTGCCAACAACATCAAGGCCACCAGATCCCTCCGCAAATGGTTCAGTCGTGTCAAGACTTCCCAGACTCAGGTTATTAGTGCAGAAACGTTATCAGAATTCAGGAGGTATGTCCAGGAGGCCATTCAATGGCACCAGAGGTGTAATCTCCATTCTTGCAGAACCTTGAGGCGTAGCTTTGTGTCCCATGGCCCTATGGTTCTTCCAAGGCCATATGAAGAAACTGCAGACATAGTAATCGATGGCCGGATGAATGAATTTATCAACTCACTGGCTACCGATGGGGACCAGCAGCTCAAGGTGCTTTCTGTTCTTGGATCTGCTTGTCTTGCTAAAACCACACTTGCTAGAGTGTTGTACAACCGATTTAGGAAGCAATACAATTGCCGAGCTTTCGTTCGAGTATCCAAGAAACCTGATATGAAGAAAATTTTCTGTGACATGCTCTCGCAACTACAGCGGCAACATCCTCCGCAACATTGTAGGGAAATTGATCTCATTCACGATATCAAGCAATATCTACAAGATAAAAGGTAGTGCCTTTTTTCTTCTTTCAAGATATATCAAAATTCCCATGTTCCCTAAACTCTAGAGTTGATTATCTGTATGCAGGTATTTAATTATTATTGATGATGTATGGGCTGCATCAGTATGGGATACTATTAATCATGTTTCTCCAAAGGGTAATCATGGCAGCAGAATAATAACAACTACACAGATCGAAGATGTTGCATTAACATGTTGCTGCTATCAGTCAGAGTATGTTTTTGAGATGAAACACCTAGATGATGGTCATTCTAGAAAGCTTTTCTTTAACAGACTTTTTTGCTCTGAAAGAGATTGTCCTGAACAGTTCAAAGATGTTCTAAATGAAATAGTTGAAACATGTGATGGTTTGCCGTTAGCCACAGCCAGCATAGCAAGTGTTTTAGCAAGCCAGCCTGTCATGTCAACTGATCTTTTGACATACATCCATCGGTCCTTAAGCTCTTGTTTCTCGGCATCAGAAAGAACTAGACAAGCACTGAATCTGAGCTTTAACAGTCTTCCTCAATATTTGAAGACATGTTTGCTTTATCTTAGTATGTATCCAGAGGGCTACACAATCTTGAAGGATGATTTGGTGAAGCAATGGGTGGCTGAAGGTTTGATCTATACGACAGAAGGGCAAGACATCGGGAAAGTTGCAGAAAGCTATCTCGATCAACTTATTGGTAGAAGATTCATCCAACTGATATGTGCCAACTACAACAATGAGGTGTTATCCTGTGCAGTGCATGGCATGGTACATGATCTTATTGCACACAAATCTGCAGAAGAGAATTTCATTATGGCAATAGACTACAGCCGAAAGAAGGTGTCACTCTCTCAAAAGGTCCGTCGACTATCTCTGCTCTTTGGTAATGCAAAATATGCCAAGACACCAGCAAACATCACAAAGGCACAAGTTCGGTCACTTGGATTTTTTGGATTGCTCGAGTCTATGCCTTGTATTACAGAGTTCAAGCTTCTTCGTGTCCTGAACCTTCAACTGTTCGGTCATGCTGGCGATGACGTTGGCCCTGTAGACCTCACTGGAATTTCAGAAATGTTTCAACTGAGATATTTGAAGATTGCAGGTAATGTCTGCATAAAACTGCCAAACCATGTGCTACAATGTTTGGAAATACTGGATATTCCGGATGCAAGAGTTGCTTGTGTTCCACGAGATATCCATTTACCAAACTTGTTACACCTTGGTCTTCCTGTTGATAAAAATCTGCTGGATTGGATTAACAGCAGGATGTCTCTCAGTGTGGAGAGTATGCAAGCTGCAGGATCTTCACCTCACCAGATCTTCTGCACTTTCTTCTGACCATCTGAATAGAAGCATGAGTTCTATTATATCTTTACTTGGAGGACATGGCAACCTGAAAACTTTAGTAGTGGCTCATGGCTCATCGGCTAAAAATGCTCGTGGCGTTTCAGACGTCACCCTGTCATGGGATCTCCTGGCACCCCCACTTCTCTAGAGATTTGAGTTCTCGCCACATAGCCATATCATGTTCGCACGAATTCCTCTGTGGATTGAGAAACATGGCAACCTAAGAATTTTGAAGATTGCAGTGAGGGAACTCCAGATGAGTTGTGTTGATATCCTCAGAGGATCGCCTGCCCTCACTGCTCTCTCTCTCTGTATGTGGAGAAGGCGCCCTACGACAAGATCATCTTTGACAAGGCTGGGTTCTCAATTCTCAAGTACTTCAAGTTGAGGTTCACGAGTGACATAGCTTGGATAAAATTTGAGAAAGGTGCAATGCTTAATCTCTGGAAGCTCAAGCTAGTTTTCAATGCCATCCCCTCTTTTGAAAAAGATGGTACTGCACTCATCAGCATCGAGCATATGCCAGGCCTTAAAGAGATCTCCACAAATTTTGGGGGTGAAGCTCCTGATCTAGAGTATGCCTTGAGGACATTGGTTAGTAATCACCCGACCAATCCTATAATTAACATGCCATCAAATAAGACTCTGGGGGGAGAACAACCACATAGGAATCTGGAGCAAGAATTAGATGAGATTCTGAAGGAAGATCCATATGGGAATCTGGAGCAAGAATCGGATGAAATTCTGGAGGAACAAGAGCCAGATGAATACGATGAGAGATTAGAGAGGCGACAGGCTGATAAAAGGTACTACAAATGTTCCTTGTAAGCACAACGAAATATGCCCTCCTTTACTTCAACTTCTATGAGGCTGGGTGCACCCACTTGGTGCGGACGCCTCAATCAATAAAATCTTTCTTTTAAAGAAAAACATCAATGTCGATTCTTCAGTTAACCTGATATAATTCTTATATGTTCTAACGAAGCTAATGGTTATTGTAATCAATCAGGATTTCAAGGTCATCAGATCCATCTTCGCGTCTACATGTTCCAGGTATATTTTCTGTCAACTGGTGGTAATATAAATGTTTCGCCATCAAGTTAATAAAGTCACTTCAAGAGAAAACTAAGCAGCTTGTTCTATGTGATAAAAAAATTTGTCCCGGACTACCAATTCAGAAATGATTAATTTCTCCAACCGCTGACTTGTTAGAGATAGAGGCTTGAGCGGAAACCGGTGACCGTAGTCAACCCATCTAGTTTAGTTGCATCCGTCCGTCCATGACGTTGGCCTCTAGTTACAAATAAGACTTTGATCCTGTGCCAGCCGAATCAGAAAAGAATCCCTGATTGCACGTAGCCTGGATTTCAACCTCCTATTTTGTCTTGCACTTTCTTGTTTCATTGCTTGCTCAAGCGAGATGCATCTTCCCCTATTTTCTTGCCCCCAACCAATCACATTCACGGCTTGGACTGCAGCATGCACACCATGAAAACATGCCTAATTTCCGGTCCTATCTCTTTTCACTTATGCACCTTAGTTATGTGCTAAAATAGCATGCTTTATCAGATTAAAAAATAGCATGCTTTATTGTTATACAAACTAATTCCTCTTTTTCTTCGTGATTGAGTTGCATATCTCTTCACACAACATCAGTAACGATAGCAGGGGTATGCGTAAGCGAAGCCACCGTATCACTTTCCTGACAAAAAGACCTTGGGACATCTGGGGTGGTTCTTTGCTGCTTCTTTTCAATCGCGTCGTGTTTCATCGCTCAGTCGACCATGGAGAGCAGTCTCCTTTCTTAGTTGCTACTTTGGTTAATTCTTGGGGGCGTGTTGGGTTATATATATACTCTCTCTTCATGCAGGCACATGACATTTTTTTTTATTAAGCAGTACCAGTTGGTGCTTCTGAGATGGGAAGGGAGCCTGATGCGGAAATCCCTGCGGCACCAACTACTAATGATAACATGATGTTGTCGGTCAATCTCGAAGCATTTGCTAGGGAAAATTATCTGAGCACTAACTTGGAAAGTTCTGTAAAGGAGATGGAAAGAGTGGCAGGTTTAGAGGATCATCAGATGGAAGATAGCACACAGGTAATTTACACATTCCAACTGTTTTGAATTCTTCTGATCCTTCTTAGGGACGTAGCTACTTGGGTTGGGGTGAAGTTAGGAAGTAATATTCTTGAGGTAAATAAATATATTTAAGTGACTAGTATGGAAGGTGGTAGATCCGCCTTCGAGCCTTCGGTTCTGCAGGGTGTGTGCCTAGATAGTTTCTTCTAAATTAAATTGCTACAGGGGTAGTGATTTTATAGCTCACAAAGAGAAGTCTAACAATGTGCCTTTGAGTGGGTAATCAAAACAATTTTTTATTTTTAACTCTAAGGCTATCCAGGATCTACTCGCAGATGAGTATGAGGTTGATTTAGAAAATATTAGATATTGTGTTAGAAGTTTAGCTTCTTCAAGTAGACCTAAATGGTAGGACGTGGAGTATCTGCTCCCGGGCTCAAATGCTCCATGGTGAACAGTAAATTAGAAAAAAAAAGAGTAAACAAATTCAACAAATTCTGAAAAACAATCAGGTAAACTTTGACAAATATTTTGTGTGCTTGCATATTTATCATGACAGGACATTCGTGGAAGTCGTGGCGAAAAAACAAAATCGATGCTCCCAAAATGCTATTTTCGAAAGCATTTTGGAGTACTGAATTTTTTTTGCCATGACTTCCACGAATGTTATTTCGTGATGAAATTTGTCAAGCATACCAAACACTTGCCAAAGTTTGTCACAATTTTTATTTTTATTTTTCGATTTTACTGTTCATCCCGAGCTTATTCGAGCTCGGGAGCAGAAGAGGACTTCTGTTAATGGTAAAGGTGCTTTTGTTGGAGGTAGTAGAGGTATAGAAGCGATAATTCAAAATGGCTCCCAAGAGCACGTGCTTCTGGCTGCAAGAACTAATTTTTCGGATGTCCAAAAAATGAAAAAATAAATGGATGTCTATTTTTTCGTGTCCTTTGTGTACATGTAAATTTTCATGAGAAAAAAAAACTTTTGTTGCGTGTGTATGAAAAAACAATTTTGATGCTTCAAGAAATGCTTCTTAGAGCACTTTCTTGCTTCAAGAAATGCTTGTGGGAATAGTATTTTAACTAAGTACAATATTATCAAAAGGGGCTGGAAAGGTAAAACTGAATAGATATACCCATATTAAAAGCACATGTTGAGTTTCGATCATTTTTATCTCAGCCATCAACGGCATTTTCCAGGAGTATCTCAGCCATCAACGGCATTTTCCAGGAGTATCTCAGCCACAATTGGCTTTTCCTTGTATTACTGAGAATTAAATTTGGACGGAAAAGGAGGGAGACAAGTCCCACGCTCTCGATACGGCGTTACCACTATGAGTTTGTGGAAATTACCTACAGCCTGGGTTTTGGTTACCGGGCGG